GGGGAGTGGTTGATCTTGCAGTCTAGGAGTGGAGGACCCTGGGACCATCAAGGGAGAAGAGCAGAGTGCAGGACCCTAGCCTGAGAAGCAGCAATGCCTGAGATGGAGGCAGAGATGATGACATGGAGAAATGGAGCAGCTGGGGACTCTGGACTGAGGGAGGGAGAGGGGCTGTGTGCTGGCGGCCGGGGCGGGGTCGGGGTGGGAGGCAGGATTGCAGGGTTTGCCCTTTAGTTGTTTGAATGGTTATATATTCCTGAGTGCTTCAGTGTACATCCAAAAAAAAAAAAAAAAAACAGAGTGAATGGAAGCAAATGCTGTTGAATGATGATGGCAGTGGAGGGGATTGTAATTATTGCAATGAGATAAAATATGACAGGATGATTGTAAAGCTGATGTTCTTCCATGTAAACTATCACCCAATTCACACAAAAAACTAATAATTAAATTATATATATATATATAGGCTTCAGAAAGTTTCTATGTTTTCATTCTATTTTCCCACGAATGTTTTCAAGTCACCACATGAGTACATGTAGGTTCCAGGTACATCTCCCCAGACCTTCAGAAGTAGACTCTCAGGGCAGAGCCTGGGAACTCATATTTTAACAGTCACCCTGGATAATTCTTAAATGCACGGAAGATTATTGCTCTGAGAGATGTTTGTTTACGGGACACAAGCCAGCACTCTAGCGCCCACCTGCTCCTGGCTGGACAGATAGACCTCTGATTGTAAAAAATGGACACTCTAGCCACCTGCGCCATTGACTGAGCTCTCGTGTGCCTCTGGGATGTGGGCACTCTCATCCAGCAGCTGGCCTGTGAGATCATGGCCCGCCCCTGCCTTCTCAACTTGCTCGGAGTTCCTAAAGGCACCTTACACCGTTAAGGTCTGCATTGCACACTCTGCATCTATCCCTCCCTCCCTCCCTTGCTCACTTCATACCAGCTCTGCCCTCCTAGATCAGCAAGCTCCTACCTCAGGGCCTTTGTCTACTAATCTCTCTGCCTGGCTCTCTTCCCCTTCAGATCTTGGCTCATGTGCCTTGACCTTTGTTGACCCACCAGCCCCCACCCCTTTCTTGCTTTATTATTTTCTATAACACTGCTATTAGAAATGTGAGCTATTTCGCTATTTATTTATTTATTTATTTTTGGTCTATCGTCCCCCCCTTACACCCTCCCTTGTAATTCCCTGCACAATGGTAGGGAGTTTTGCCTCCTTCATTGGCATAACATCCACACCTAGCAGTGCCTGGCACATAGGATGCTCAATAAATGTTTATTGAACAGTTGGCTCTGTTTGCTGCTGCTTTACCAGGCGAGTCTTGGCTTAGGAGGTAGGAATGACAAAGCCAGGCCAGTTTCCTTAGTCTCCAGGAAGAAAATATCCAAATCATCCTGAATAGAAGAGACTCTTCTGCTTTGTGAAAACATCCTGAACAAAAGGATTATGATGAGGCGAAGGGAACAGTGAAAGGCAGAGATTAATTCAAAGTGCAGTTAACCTGGAGGGCTTGTTCTGCTGTGCCAGACACCACGTCAGTCTTGGGGCCAAGGCAGATGAGACTCTGTCCTTACTGAGAGCCTCATGGGAAGTGGCTGGTGGGGCCCATAGAAAGAGAAGTGCGATGAGGGTGGTACAGTGTGTGGCGGACCACTGAGAGCACCAAATCCCTGGAGCCATGCCCTCGCCAGGCTGGGAAACAGAGGCGGCATTTCAGAAGAGATGATCCGTTCTCTATGTGAAATCTCCAGCTTGCGGTGTAAAGCAACTGTTCTTCAGAGCCTATGAAAAGACCGGACTATTTCCATATTTATGCCAGGGCCAGGCTTCCCCCAGGGACCTGGTACCTGCCGCCCTGCCAGGCTGCCTGCCGGCTCCCACTCACATTCCTGAGGCACAGCAGAGGGGCCTGGGGGTGTCAAGGCGGAGAGCTTTTCTTTCCTTTCCCCTTGATATAAAACTTGAAGGTCTTCTGATTTTCTGCACACATTTCCATCCTAACTGTGTTTGATCGTTGGCTTAAATAAGATCCTTATGGTGTGACCGTTGCCAGCAGCACTGTTTGAAACCTGTTAGCTGAAACAAAAAACATTCTCTGAGGGAAATGAAAGGCCTGGCTTTAGAAATCGAAGCGTTCCTGTCCATCTGTCTTTTTTCAAATGGCCTCAATTGAAGCTCTTAAATGTGTTCTGAGTGCCCCTTCTACTAAGACTATTCTGGGTAATGTTATGATTTTTCCCCCAGCTACAATTACCCCGGCTCCAGGACTAACAACTTGAAATGCTGTTGTCTGTGAGCCAGGAGAAATGTGAGTTACAGGCTTCTTGGAAATTCCAGGCCCTGACTCTGCAAGAGAGATGGGCTCTTATGTCTACTCAGGTCGCCTGTGAATGAGAGCCAGTTAGGGCAGGTCTTCCAGACCCACAGGGAGGCAATGGTTGTGTAACCATGGAAACGAATTTCAGACCTCTTGAGTGCCTTGAGGGGTCTCAAAGGGAGCATGGAGGGAGAAGGGGAGCGAGGTAGAGTCCTCTTGCTGATTCTTTTCCACTTCCCCTGGTGAGTGGGTGTGCCAAGCCTTTTTAGTACATAATGGTAGTGACAGCAGCCTTTAGTGTCTCCCAGACCTGGTGAGAGGCCTTTGGAAGGTTTGGTGATTGTTTTGTTAGATGTCTTTAGTGCTTAGGTGTTGCTCAGCGGAAGCACAAAGGATTCCATCTCTCTTGGTTTCGAGAACCAGCAGCAGAATTCCTACAATCCACCGTCCTGTGCTGTAAGGATTCCGTCTGTCAACAAATATCTCCTGAGCACTAACACTCTGCTCATGGAGCCCTGGGGACACTGCGGGGTAGGAACTGGGGGGCTAACTTCAATGTTGGCAGTTCAAACCCACCAGTCACTGCATGGGAGAAAGGTGAGGCTGTCTGCCTCAGGTCATTGTGAATCAGAATTGCCCTGATGGCCGTAGGTTTGGTGACTCTCTGCTAGGTGCTAGGGACAGAAAGGCAAACAGGTTTTCTTCACTCGAGGAACTTGCGGTCTAGCCTAAGCGTACAGTAAGGATGTTAAAGATGCAAGAGTGACATCTGTATAGGAATAAGGGGCAGAGAGAAGGGAGTGGTTACTTCTGTTTGGGGTGGGGGTGGGGGGGGAAGGAGAATGCATCCAATGTGTTATACTTTGGAGTGTGTGGTTGAGTGCTCTGTGCTGGACATACGGTGAAAACAAGGCAGTAAAGGACCATTCCTTCTTGGAATGTCAGTATGAGCCTTGACTGTCTAAATTAAAAATAAATAAAATTTAGAACTCGGCTTCTCCCTCAGTCACACCAGCCACACATCAAGTAATCAGTGGCCAGGGCTCCCATTTTGTATGGTTTCCATTGTTGAGGAGAGAACAAGACAGACCATTCACAAGAACAAGGAGTGACATACCAGCCTGTGCTCAGGAAGAACGAGGCCTCTCCATGTGAGGGAGGGGTGTCCAGCCTTGGCTTCACACCATCTTGAAAGCCAGATGGTATGTCAAGCTGTTCACAGACTCTCCTGTGCTGTGTGCGCATCCAGCAGTGTGACTACAGGAGCTGGCTGGGGGGGCGGGGGGGGCGTGTAGCTTTACCAACACTGTAGTATTGGTAAAGTGGGGAGCAGTGGTTGGCATGGAAACAATGGCTTCCAAAGGTCCTTGCTGCTTTGAGACTGGGGTGGGAGGGAGAATGCTGCCCAAAGGCTCTGTTGGTACACTGAACACAGCGCCTCTTCCCCCACATACCTTGTGTGGTGCAGCAGAACCAAGAAAGCTCGAGCTTCTCTGTCTGCATGCTACACAATAGACGTCCAGCTTCCTCAGGTTTCACCAGGGTTTGCTGACGTGGCTACCTGGTAGAGCATTCGTTACCAAGAAAGAAGGGTGTTTGTGCACAGGACTCATCAAAGCTAGGGTTCAGGAGATGGTGGTTTACCTTGTTTTTACCCCCCTGTCTTTTTCTCTTTAACATCAGCCTAAAATTTAATGTTTCATCTGAGACCTCAATGATGTGAAGGTTTATTGTCAGCAGGGGAGTGGAAAAGGCCATTTGGGTTTCTTACGGTGGAAACATTGAGATTTTTATGCCCAAGAGCGTAAAGGACTTTTCCCAAATGCCATATTTTCTGCTCCTCCTACTTTTCATTCCTCTTGCACCCTTTGAATTCCTTTTTGTTCTCTAAACATCCATCCCTCTCTGAACCCCACCTGCAAGAACTGACAAGTCGATCTTTCCTTTATAACCCCCTTTCTAGTTCTTTCTCTGTGATTAAATGCTTTCCCGATGTGGCAAAATGCATTTTTAAAAACGCAACAAGTCTTTGGACTAGAAAAAGAGAGGCTGGTTCTCATTACTTAGCCTTTATATGTGTGCACAGCCCAGGATGTTGGGAAAGCTGCCCTCTGTGCATGTGGAGAACTTGGTGCCCAGGTTCTCTAATGTAATCAGTGTCTTCTGGAGGAGCTGAGTCTCTTGCCTACTACCAGTGACTGACAGCTCTCTCCTTAGTGTACTTAACTTGTGTAAGAAGGTCCTTGGAGTGAACGTTTTATCTGGAGCTTCAGCAGCTTGGGAAGAGGTGTGCCTGTTTATCAGTACAGTGTGAAAACAAAAGGAAATTAGGAAAAGCATAAGAACTAACACTTGTTGAACATTTATGATACGTCAAGCTGTGTTCTAGGCCCTTGGTACACTTTTCTCCTTTGCCCACTCACCACCATCCCTATGGTTGGCAAATATAACACTTGAGGAAAATGAGATTCAGAAGTCAAGCCACTTGCCAAAAGTATACTGCTTGTGAGAGCTGGAACCTGGGGTTTATACCGAAAACACTTGCTTCTGAAAACCTTAGCTGTAGATAGTGACTTCGCTTCTGAAGTTTTACATAGCTAGGGCTGACACTCATTGTTCCCAGCCTTGTCTCCCTGGAATAATTTGTGGTACCTCCATGTCTCCCCTTCCCTCCAGGTCACCGTGGAGTAACAAGTACGACCCGCCATTGGAAGATGGAGCCATGCCATCTGCTCGGCTGAGAAAGCTGGAGGTGGAAGCCAACAATGCCTTTGACCAGTATCGAGACCTGTAAGTTACTTAATCCCTTCTGCCCTTTAGTTCTCAGTCTTGAGTAAAATCATTCATGAGAGTGACGAGGCCAACTGGTCTTCCTCCAACCTACTACCTGGCTCATTAACTAATGAAACTGCTGAGCCACCAGTTACAGGATGTTGGGTCCTCATTTGATAATTACCCAATAATAAGGTAAGTTGATGGTAGAATGCTACCATATACAGGCCCAACTATGGGTTACTGTCTGTTGTGATGCACAGCAACGATCGGAACCACTGATACTGACACCTTCAGTGTGCTGGGCCTGGTGCTGTATGTTACACAAATTCTCTTGTTTCCTCACAAACATGGTAGCTGTTTTAGGTCCCTTGTTTCAGATATTTTAATGCTCAAAATACAGGGAGCAAAGAGTCTTGGTGTGGTGCTGTGGGTTAATGCACTGGACTGCATGGTCAGTGGTTCAAGCCCACCAGCTGCTCCTCGAAAACCCTATACAGGGTCGCTGTGAGTCAGAACTGACTCATTGGTACTTAACAACAACAGGGAGCAAAGTTATGAAGAGTTCTTATGCATAAGGCATAACATAGTCCACAATTACCAAGTTCTACATCTCAGCAACTAGGGTCTTTAAAAGCATGTGAGTGGCCCTCTAAGGTGCAACTATTGGTCTGTCTCTGGAGGAAAGAAGAGTGATGAAAATTGAAGACGCTTGGAAACCATTAGTCCAGTGGACTAATGGATCACGTGAGCACAAATCTCCATGATCCTGAGACCAGAACCAACTGCTCCAAGAGGGATCACAATAAAAGGTCCTGGATAGAGTGGAAGAAAATGTGGAACAAAACCAAAGTCGTAAAGACCAGGCTTACAGGTCAGATAGACCAGTGGAAGCCAGAGACTATAGCTCTTAGTCACTCTTTAGATCAGGAACGGAACTCACCCTTGTGGCTCAGTTTTCAGCCAAGCAATAGGTAGGTCTGTTGCGGGGCGGGCAACACTAGTGAGGTACACATATACCCTACAATGGTCAGCCATTTCAAATCTAAAGGGCAGCATTTACCTCAGGGAAACAAGAAACACCGCGAGGTTGTGGGATCGTTGACGTTACACTGAGAGGACTGCAATCACTGAGAAGAAGTGAAGTGGATGGTTTGTTGAATGTAAAACTGATCATCTGCTCTGTAAGCCTTCACTTCATGCACAATAAAAAGTTTCAAAAAATAAAGTAAAAATGAAGGCTCAGAAAGCTCTTGCCCCCAGAAGAGACAGAGTCCAGAATCATACTCAGATCTGTCACTAATGGTCCCCTCTGGTTTTCACTGAGCCACATGTCCCAGCTCAGTTCTGTCATGGAACTCAGGAGTCCTTGTCCCAGACTCGATGGAACCTTGACAGTCTCTCTATGAAGGAACAGGTACTGAACCCTGGCATGTTTAGAGCCTCCAACATTGCCTTCAGAAAGTATTTTTGCTGGCTCTGTTTAGATTCCTACCTCTCCTTTCTGCTCCCACCACTAAAGTAGACAGAATGGACACTTAATCGGTCAGTTTTGCTAGGGAGGGGATCCTGAAAGGGTGGTCTTCTGAAGTTTTTTTGGTTTAATGTTTTCTTGTTGTAAATACAGAAGCAAGTCAAACAGTGTTTTGCTGCTCGGGTTCCAGTTCATACATGTGCAGGTTTATTCTAAATAAAATGTGCTTAAACATGACTCTGTGATCAGTGTATGGTTGCAGACAAGTTCTCTCAGTAATACGCTTGTTAGAGTGTTTTTTAAAAAAAAATAGTCCAAACCAACAGTGACTTCTGAGGGGATCTGCTGGGCCACTTAAATTCCAGGCAGAACAGCCAGCTCAGGAGGTTATGGTAACTGTTTTTTGGGATACCCAAGGGATTATCTTGATAGATTTTTCTCCAGGGATGCAGGGTGACCACTGGGGGCTTGTTACCAAGTTCTAAGAAAATTAAAAACTGCCTTAGAGAGAGGAGGAGGCCAGGAAAGTTTGTCAAATAATCTTTCCCCATCACAGCAGTACACCTACTCTTTCTTTGAGGGTAGCAAGGGCTGTCCTTCAAGAATTTCACTTGGAAATCTTCCCTCATCTACCCTGCATCCCTGATCTGGCCCCTTCAGGCTTCTTTTGTTCCCCAAATTCAAAGAACACTGAAAAGGCACACAATTTAAGTCCCTCCTGAGTGCCAAAACCGCCATTTTGATGTGGAAATCAAAGAATGTAGGATTCTTTGTGAGACTTAGAGAAATAGAAAACATCACCTCAGCAGTGTGTAGACTTAGATAGAGGATATGTTGAAACATAGTAACTTCACATTTGTATATTTTTATTTAATAAAAGGATCTGTGATTTTTATTGTAGCAATACTTTTTTTTACTTAACTGTGTGTGTGTATAATGTATTTTTATTTTGAGTCAACGGGATCTCATGTTAAATTATATTCTATCCTGAAAATACAACAAAACTGTAAGCAGTGCAATACTAAAAGGTCTTCGGTCATCTAGGACATGGGTCTGCAAACTTTTGTAAAGAGCCAGAGAATGTGCAGTTTATAAAGGCTTTGGAGGTCACATAGATTTTGTTTGTTTGATGCCCCTTTACAAATCACCTTGAGCACTTGGGTCTGGAGGTGGGCAGTTTAACCATAAGTCTATACTTTGTTCACACCTCATGTAAGCAAGAAGAAGGGACTAAGAGACACAGGAGAACAGCTGAACCAGTTGTCTGAAGTTGTTGCTGTTGAACTTGGTTTAAGAATTTCAAGTCTCCACTTGGCAGACTGAATGGTTTTCTTTCACAGCAGACATGTTGTAACACATTTAATCAGAAAAATCTCTGTTTCCTTGAGGAAAAGTGGTGCTTCTCAATGTGACAAACAACAAAAACAAACAAACCCTATAACACTTAGGCAGGTGAGTCCAATACAAGAGCTCAATTTTCAGGCAGTGGTGAATAAATGACTATAACCATTCTGGTATCCCCATTCTGCCTCTGCAGTATAGCCCAATGCGGCGCTTCAAGTTTTCAGTGATAATATTCATCTTCAATGTGTTTTGTCACACAGCAATGTTCTTTAAGCACTTAACTTTAGTTGCAGTGAAATATTTTTATTTTAATATTTGCCATTTCTATTGTTTTTACTTGCATAATACAGTGGCATTAATTATAGTCACGATATGCTTCATTCCCAATGACATATATTATCATTAACCCTTACTGTCTTTGGGGAAGACAGTCTTCCTCTTTTGACAGATGAGGAAACTGAGGCTCTGAGAAGTTAAATGACTTGTACGATGACCATGGAACATTGAGATGAAGAGCTAGGATTTGAATTCATATTTGACCAAAGCGTCCACAAAATCATTGGTTTTCATGATTAAAATCTGTTTCATTGTTTAAAGGGTTTTTATATCTAGACCTTTCCCTCATTGTAAGTCAGAGTTTTCTTCAGGGAAACAGAGAAATTGACTCACGTCTATGTTATAGTTTGTTTGTAGTTATCTTTTTTACGTGGCCATTTGAGTAAGAGGCTTGTCTCGCTATTATACAGCAGTTCCCAAATTGAGTCGTTTCATACGATAGTAATAATACAGATAATAAAAGAGCAGTGACGATGACACAGAGCTTGCACACTCACTAGCTGATAACTCTGTTCATAGTTTTAGTCTTTATTTCTCATTTCATCTTCCCAGCAACTCTACGAGATAGGATTCTCCCCTTTCAGAAATGAGTTAGCCTAGTTACAGAGGTTAAGTAACTTGGCCAACTTCACAAGCCAGCAGGCGGTAAAGCTGGGCTATCAAACCACCTTTATCCAACTCCAGAGTCCAAAACTGGTTCATTTATTTAGTAGATATTTTGAGGGCTCACCTTACGTGTGCCAGACAAGGTCCCTGCCCCCCCCCGGGTGCTTCCATGTGTGGAAAGTTGGACCGTGCTGACTTGGGTGCCTAAGTGTGCCTTGATGCATATCCTCTGGGCTGTCGTATCACACCAGAATTATAAATCTTGACGGTAGACATGCAAGTTTTCCCTTTGAGAATATTAGCTAGATTTCCACTCACCCAGAGAACTGATGATTTTGTCCACTTCTGTGCCTGAGGGGGGCTTTCCTGGCCTCACCCCCTTCTTCCCATTAGAAAGTGCAATCAGTGTTTTTGTTGACAGCTGTATGTTTAATTTGGGTGTCTGCATGATTCTGATGGGTTTTTTAATAGACTTAATGTTTGGATTGTTACTGCCTTACTAAACGAATTCAGGCGTACTGCCTTCATACGCAGCCATTTAGGGCCTGACCCAAGGAAGAACATAGTTTCTCTCATATTCCTGTCCCATTCCTTCACCTTGTTTGAACACGTACCTAACGATGCATGAAGAGTTCTAGATGCAAGCCTTCTGTGAGTCTTAATTGGCCTATTTTCAGGAGCATTTCCCCATTACCATGAACCCAAACCAAACCCGTTGCCATTGAGCCCTTTCCAATTCTTAGCATCCCAATGGGACAGAGTAGAACTGCCCCAAAAAGTTTCCAAGGCTTCATGGAAACAAATTGCCACATCTTATCCATGTGGGTTTGAACTGCCAACTTTACAATTAGCAGCTAATACTTAAACCACTGTGCTACCAGACCTCCAGGTATTATACCATTAAACATTCCTCCAAATTATTATTCATCCGTATAGCAACCCTATAGAATTGTTAAGTGCTGTTGAGTTGGTTCCAACTCATAGCGACCCTGTATAGGGTTTCCAAGAAGCAGCTTGTGAGTTTGAACCACCAACCTTGCAGTTCAAATCATCCTTGCAGTTGAATGCTTATCCTACAGCATCGCACCAGGCCTCCAACTTACAGAATAGGGGGTAGTTATCTCATTTAACAGATAATGAAACTGGGATTCAGATCTTGGATCTAACCCTCTACACTGCCTCCCGAAAGGGCTCAAACACACTTTCTGGGTTACTGAACATTTTTTAAGGTGGCTTTTTAAGTCCTGTTAAATGCCAT